TCAACGAACATGCGTTTACCATCGTAATACAAACAGCTGTCAAATGATGCGTGTCTCAGACATTTAACCCGGGATGCTTCCTTTTCACCTCGTCCAACTTTTTCGCCACCTGTCGGAAACACGAATACATTAAGCAAACCAACTAACTGTTCGAAGAGTCACTAAACCTGAATGATTTAACATAAAGTTGAGGTTAAGTTCAGCAGCTTGAAAAAAGGGGTACGACTGAATGGTCTGATACAGTATTCGTCAGGTGGAAAACAATTCCTGCTTAAAACATATTGAAACACATAATGTATATATTTTTGATATTAAAATTGTTTTGGCCCATTAGAAGTTTTATTTCTGTCTGTCAAACGAAATTAATTCTTAATTAATTCTTCTTAGTTGATTAATGTTTTCTTAATTCAACTTACGAGGAAACTTTTGATCTACAGTACTGTAGATGCATACATTTGTCATTTAAAAAAATCTTACAATGGATAAGTTCTGCCGGGCAGGAACCAACAGTACTGTGAGCAATGGTGGCACTGAAAATACCCATCAAATCGGTGCATTAGTTATGACATCACAATATGTAGTCATTATTTTAAGTTGGCTCCATTATAATGTCCAGACATTATTCGACACCCATAACATCAAATGGCACAATGAAAATAAAGAGGAACCACAGAAAAAATAGGTTCCACAAGAATAGTTAATTTTCCATGACATACTGTACTTACTTTGGGCAAGAGTGCCAATACTTTTGCTCATGAATTGATTTTACTCTTCCATTCTGTAGTACTGTACATATTTATATAAAAATTATATTACCTCCAAGAGTGTAGCAATGCTCCAAGCCTGAGTACGACATGATGCTCCACAATAAGCACCATTCTTGTTGGTCAACTCTGGCAGCCCTCGCCAAGGGTTCGACTCACTGTCCAACAATAACTCCCAAGGCTGCTTCAGGGATTTGAAAACACGCATCACTGATTTTTGCAGCTCATCAATATCCCCTTTCCTATCAGCGTGTTCCAGAATGGCACTCAGATAAAACCCACGTGGCCAGAGCCATTCCTGCAAAAAAAAAATCGAAGTTCTATTTCAGGATTCCTAAATTTGGCAGAAGAATTTTAATGAGAGAATACGCATCAAATCCAAATAAAAAATACAAGATTTGAAAATACAAATAATCTTTAAAAAATGTTTACTCAGTCAAATATAAATTAAACGGTTCAAATGAAGTATGTACATGCTGTTTTATTAATTAAAAAATCAAATTATAGACACAGCTGATAAAATTCCCAGTTAATCAAAGATCATACATCAAAAGTTTTCCTTTCACCAAAATAGTAGACAAACAAAAACCGTAAGTGTTCATAACAGGCTTTGCCTTACGCCTTCAGAAATACTTTGAATTCAAAATTTGCATTTTAAAGAAAAGTAAGCAATCCTTGAAACAGTTTTCACTTACTGGCCCATTATGATAGTTGAACCCACACGAAGTAGAGAAGTCATCAGATTCCGAGTTGTAATAATTCGGCCTGTAAGCAGCATCATTATCCGACAACGTTTTCATGCCCAATGGCCCCTCCAACAGAGCTCCTCCATTTTCCAAGCCCTTCCACGCATTGTCTAGTTTCACCACCTCGGGTGCCTAAAAGAAAAAAAAAGGAAAACGGCTCAGTTCTCTAATAGCATGTTCGACATGCAAATGAATTTCACTTACGACACTTAGAGTCACGAAATAATTGGGCCTTGCTTGAAAATCTGCCCATTCTGGGTAGCTATTGAAACAATCCTGATAGACCCCACGAATGTACACTTTTCCACGCTGATAAGCATCGTCTTGTGCTGCATCTTCTTTCATGAAAAATTTGGCGTCGAAATTCGCTTTGATCTTGTCACTCCATTGTTTCCAGGTCCACTCAACTGTGGTCTTCTTTCCGTCTGTGGAAAAATAATGGAATTTAGTTTAGAATTTAGAATAACTTACCAAACCACACAAGGCTTTCCCAGTATTGTCATAAGACTTTTGGGCCGATTTCCAAAGCTAACTAATTTACCAGAATCAGGTTTCCTGCAGAATTGAGACACATACAGTAGAGTAGAATCTTGTTACAACGGACTATGGCTTGGAAAAAATTCAATTTTGATCCTTGGGCAATAGACACAATGGTATTTGTTATTTGAATTTGTTTCAATCTTGTTACAACAAATTATTGCTTTGAAAAAATCCTTTTTGGTCCCTGCCCAATAGCCACATTGTCATTTGAATTTCTTGGCAGTTGAGTTTTTCACTGTTCTCAGTAGCTTTCTTGTAGCACAATATTTTATAACTACTTCACTATTTCCACCGAAAATTCCACTTCATCCCGAATTCATTCAGCACATCAATTGGCAAATTAAAATTGCCACTTTTCTCACCCTGGATTTCGCGGTCAGCTTTCACCCCAGCAAAAGGGTACAACCCTTGCCCATGCATTTTATCTAGCCAAGTGACAGTGGAGAAGCAGAGTCCCACGAGTTCCACAGCACTGCCATTTCTAGGGGTGGCGGGAAAGCCGACGTTTCCGGCTCTTTGACTAGAACCCATTTTATCCATCCATGTGCCACAGTTCCATTGGTTTCCGCCGAAAACGAACCCTATAACGCAACAAATGATGCACCCGACTGAAATCACTGAAATTGAAATTATTCTTAAATATAGTTACCCGTTTCCAAATCAACGCCTATTTCATTATTGAACCCTTCGGATCGCATGACACGATCCAAAGCCTCCCCAGCATTCCGCTCCCTGAATTTCTCTCCACCAAAATGCCTCTGAAGTCCTTCTTGCATCACATCTTCCAATTTCATCTCCTTCAAAAGTGGTAAAAAATTCATTAAATTAAAATACCATTCTATGACAAGAGAGGAAATATTGGATGTCCAATACTTTATCTAACATATTGTAAGAAACAAATGCAGAGTACCAAAGAAAACTCAGGAAATTTTTGATCACGTGATCACTGGGAATTCCTGGTCATCACATAATTAACAGACACCCTTTTTCACCCAGGCATTCTTTATTTCCAGATTTTGAGCTCACTTGCTTTGAATTTTGCTGGTTACAATTTCATGCTTTTCATTTTTTTTAGTTATTAATTCATCAAGAAGGAGTTTTCCAAGTGGACACAGTTCTTAGCTTCAATTCTTCAATTTCACTCCACTATCTCGAATATTTTTGAGAAATACGTTTTCAAATTTTTTCCTTCAGAATTTCAAACGAGAAATCCCCTAGTGGATCGTCACTTAATTTTATTTAAGTTTGCGTTTCTCCGTGGTCAGTGCACCACACACACAAAACAGGTCAGTAATTCTACCCAGATTTGAGTCACTGACTACCAGTGACATATACGCGGAAATCCGAACGATCTATAAACTTACAACAACGGATTTCCCCCACTCGTCATCGTCCTTGGAATAATGACGCCAAACTGGTTCCTTCAAGATACTGGCTCCATCCGGAGCAGTTTCCATATGCTTCCTGATGCCATGCAACCAGAACCAAAAGGCATCCCTTGCATTGTATCGAGACCCACTGCCCTTGTTAAGCAGGTTCGGTATTAGTCCGTGTCTCAGCACCGAAGCGTACGCCAAAATGATGTTCCTGCAAAAATTAATGCATCAAAGCAACAATTCAAAAGTCGAAGGGAAACGATAAAACCTAAACAAAAAAGAAAATTCATTACTTCGCGTCTTCGTATCGTCCTGGAACATGACACAAGCCCGGCAGAGAAATGAACGTGTCTCGTCCCCAGTTCCGCATGTAACCGGTTGAGAAATGAGGCAGACCTGGAACCCAAAATTCACAGTGCTTCAAACATATCCTCGATTGAAAAACATAAGTTTTTCAAACTCCCATGATGAAATCTTCTTGCATAATTTTAGTCGTTCGACAAGCCGCTTCAAAGGTAATTTTTTTAAATTTTAGGCCAGTCAGTGAAAATTTGATAAGGCGAGCTAACACGGTATAAAAAGTTTCTAAGACTGTAAAAGCTAAGTGTGAAAATACTTCTGCATATTTTTATTCGTATGACAACCCGCTTCAAAGATAAAAAAAAATTGTTACATTAGGTCAGTCAGTAGAAATTTGACCAGGCGAATTAAAACGGTATACAGTACAATGAACATTTTCCGAGAATGTGTAAGCGAAGTGTGAAAGTGAACAGGTTCTAGTTGAAAATGTTTCACCTCGTACCACTTCAAAATGAAAAAAAAAATATTTCTCACCAGCTGAAAGGCTGTTCATTTCACTTCCACTAGGTTTCCCCTCCAACCGATATTCCGGCAATTCCGCATCCCGAACGACCCCCAAAAATTGCAGCGAGCTCAAAGCCAAGGCCTTTACAAAATCCCCTCCATTTTGAACGAAGCTGCAATGAATAGAAAAAAGCATCAACTGAAGAACACAGAGAAAAAAAAAAAAAAAAAGTTCATCCTTACGGCGACATTTTCTGGTACACAGCTTTGCAACAAGAGTCGTAGACCGCCCGAAGAACCTTGGCAAAATAATACGGGGCCAAATAGTTGGGAAGACGTTTGACGCAGTTGAAATAATCTTCCAGCCATTCCCCGATTTTGTGCGTCGACGACCTTAGTTTGAAGTGCGATGAAACGTAATCTAGGAAGTGGGAAAGGCGTAAATCAACAGAACTGTCATTTATTGAAGTTTCACCGAGAACAGGTACCAAGTCTAGAATAACCTGATTTTTTCCAATTCTTGCTTCTTAGTGATTTACATATTTATTCGAGATTCTATGAAGGAAATTTCCAACAAACCAGGAATAAAAATTAAAATTTCACACATTTTTCTTTTACAAAATTTTTTGGGGGTCAAAAAAATATTGATCGCCATAATCAGCTTTATATTACAGTAAAATATCATTAAAACAAACTCGTGGGGACTTCAGAAAAAGTTTGTTACAATGAATAATTTGTTATAACGAGACTTCGAAAATTGTTGACTGGGAAGATTGTTTTAAATTAAACCTGTATACAATATATATCAACAGCCCACTGATTTGTTATAATGAGATTTTTATAACACATACCATACCGGATTTCTGCTGGGACTTCGAAAAAATTTGGTTAAGCTGAAAAATTTGTTGTAACGATATTCGTTGTAAAAAAAATGTTTATTGTAATCGGTTCATAGTTTCTTCAGATAATTAACTGCTCATATGGGAGTAATGGGACGGATCAAGTCCATCAACACGCGTATTCAGCGTCAAAACATAAACAATAATCCTGTATCATTTTTCTAAAAACTATAAGATCATATTTTTAGAGAAACGCAGCTCAGAGAGAAAATACATGAACCAACCCAGCATCCAAGGTCCATCACGGAGATTTTGGCACAAAGGATGTCCTTGATCATTCTTATTCTGCACCACGTCCAAGACACTCATGAAGCCTTGAAGTCCAGAATAAACCAATGCACCGTTTGACAACCCATAACAGCCTCTGTCGGGGGTTTCAGCTCTCTGTTCTTCCTCACACCGGAACAGCACGAAGTTGAAATCCCCGAGGGAAAGAGAATTGAGCACCGGATGCAGATCCGTCTCCAAATTTTCCAATTTGGAATTCATATCTCGCAAAGCCGCTTGCATTTCGTCCTCCAGTTCAACACTAGTAAAGAATAGAAACAGCCCATTATTTAAAGGGAAATAAACGGAATACCGTGTTGAAAGCTGAAGCAATCCCACCCAAAAGACTTCAATTTTACTTTTAATTGTACTGTATAATGGAGACACAATTTTACATTCAGAATTTATAAAATATTGAATTGACGGACAACTTTTATTCAAAAGGTCAAGGAAAAGTATTTGCTTACTGCAATGCAACGACGGATCCCGGAGGGAAGCTTTTGAAATCCACAAAGAATTTTCCGTCCCCAGTTGATTCGATAGAAATCATGTCACATTCTTCTGGCTTGATTCTGGTTTTCACGTCCGCAGTGAAGTCACTCAGTCCATTGATGAAATTGTCATCTGGTTTCCACTGATCAGTCCACGAGTTATCAATGCCCTTGAGATTCCACGGCGCCGGTCTGTGATGATGAAACGAAAATATATTTAAAAAAGCAGAACTAAAATTAGACGACGTCAAATCAATAAAAGTGAAACTGTTCATTTGTGAGAAAAATCCAGTGAAGGTTTTCCCTCCTTTCAAAATTGTATTTGGATTGAGATGCAGTCTTCACGCATTTTTAATGGTAAAGAATCTCTTTTTATACCTTCTATATCTTTGTACATATTTTATATCTCCGTTAGAATTTGGAATTGTGCACAATTTGTAATCAATCATTCACGTAGTGCTTCTGGTGTTCCTTGCAGATTTTGTCATTTTCTCCCCACCAAATTACACAAAAAATTTTTATGAAAAAACTATGAACACATTCAAGAAGCCCCGCTTGAATTTACGTTCTTGGCTGCAAACTGGATGATAGTCCATGTTTCATATTTTCTACTGCGTCTGTATCATCTGTTCATTCGTTGAGTTCTGTTAATGCGCAACAATTTGCTTGTCCTTACAGACAAAATCATCACTAATCAGCTGGTTCATCAAAATTAACTCACGCATTCTTGTTGTAGAATCTGGCACTCAGACGAACATTCTTCACTTTACCGGTGACGGGTCCAAGTCTGTCAGGATTGCGGTAAGCATGGGCATCTCTATTAAAAGCCGTATGCACAATGCAAATAACGCTTTCCCGTGTTGTAGGCGAATGTCGAGTGACGGCCACTACATCGGCAGACTTTTGGTCCACAAACACTTCAGTGAATCCGGACCTGCCCATTTCGTTGTGCAATTCGTTCAAGGCCTTCTTGGCGGCGATGATTCCGGTAGTTTGGTTCACGTGACCCCGGGTTTCCGGTTTCCCCCACGACGCGTAAACCCGCTCTTCGTCGACCACATGAATCTGTCAAAATTCGCGAGGTTATTAATTTGTGAGGATTAAAATACAAATGCTATTCATTTACATTTTGCACGTTCTCTTTTTTTTCTGACCGATCACGTTCCAAGTTTAATTATTCAATACATGATCTTGACAGCAAAGCCATTTTCAAATATAGAACGCAATATAAAAAAGCTTTTGATAGGGAATAATATTTGAAGAGTATTCAAAATGCCTCAACATTTCGATTCATTCTGCATCAGCAGTAATGAATTACCCACCCTTGAAAGCAAAATCGAAGAAATAATTTACATCTCTGTTTCATAAGTTTGTCCAATGCACACACAGAATCAAAGTCTGAAGAAAATGGAGTCCTTATTGCATCAAAAACGTAAGATTCGACAAAATATGGCAGCTTTTTTTTCCCCCTGTGACCACGATCACATTGGAGTTCATGCTATTTTAAAAACATTTTCTTTGGTATTTTCTAGTTTGAGAAAAATAGGAAAATCAAGTTAACGATTCCAAGAAGAGATTTTTGACAAAGGTGCATCAATATTTCCTCGATGGCTGCAATGATCTCGACTAGAATTACTGGATTCCAGGAAATCATCTAGTAATTACTCTCGGGATAAGACTGAGAATTCCTCAAACCCTTCGTAATATCGAATATACTTGAAATTTGAAACTGCCGAACGATTTACTTCAACGCTGGCAACAAAAAGTTGACAGGAACAGAAACACGAAAGTTTACCATGTGCGGAACGAGTTCATCGTATCCTCGGGTGGACCCAGAGCCACAAGAAGACATCGCAACCAGAGCAGATGAAGGCAACGCGTCATACGGAGAACGCTTCAACATGGGACACTCGTTATCGTGAGTTTGGTCAAAGAAGATTGCATGGGCCAGCGATGGAGTGAGTGGCGCAACCCCGGGGGCATCGAACGATCCAACGGGTTTCCCACCATAATAATACACCAGGCGACCCTGCTCTTGGCTGCTGTGCGCCGACAGTGCTTCTGTACAGAGAAATAAAGAATAAAATTACTCTTCGGATTGATTTCAAATAGCTTCGCAAGCTGGTTTTTTGGAATGGGTTCGAAGCAAAAAGGCCGTACTAAAAAAGGACAAGTAAAGGAATGGTCGGCACAATACAAGAATAGAACATAGAAAGCGTAAAAAAGAGGCCGACAGTGCTTCAACAGAGAATCAATGGATAAAATAATCCCCGCATCGATTTCGAAAAGCTTCGCAGGCTCAAGAAGGCCACAATGGAAAAAAAAAATTAAAGGAATGGTCATCGCAATAGAAAATAGAAAGCGGAAAAAAGTGCAGATTTACAAAAGAGCAAGATTTGATAAGACGTTGGAGTCACGTAACAATGAAACTATGAAAACCGGTTTTTCCTAAAAAATAAAAAAATAGGACTTGTTCCTTTGATGAGTGAGAAGAAAATAACTTAAGAGGGGTCGAAATATTTCATCTAAATTTGGCAGTTACGAAGTATTGTCCCGCAAAATCTTTGGATTAAAAAAAAAAGCAGCATCGAGAAGATCGGAAGAAAGAGAACCCTGAATTTCTTCGAGTGGTTTAGGGGTATCTCTTTCAAAAAAATTATCTTATTGCATTCACGGATTGAGACAGGGAAGTGATCACAGTTATTTTTCGTAATAGGATTAATTTTAAGGGATCTGATATTGGTGCTGTATAGCTTATCCAATTTTTACGTTCTTGTAAGCACGGTAAATAATGAACAGTTACACCAAAGAATGAAAAAATCCGACGAACCTCGAATTAAGGAAGTGATTCCCAGCCGTGCAACAAACACATTGTCAGTGGCCAGAGAATTTGTGAACAGTTCCGCAGTTACGTATAAATTCGGATTCACCTTCCGAGCTTCGTCCAACAGATACTGTGAAGTACACAGAACAGCCAAATTATTTCTTCCAATTCAAAATTTTCAAGGACTATGATTAAAACACTGAACAGTACCTCGGCAATATTCAAAGGTGTAGAATGGCAGTTGTCCAGACGCAGTCCGTGAAAAGTTTTCGCAGTTTCCACTACGTAATCCCGCATATAATCCCACAAAAACGGGTTATCTTCCCTTTTTTCTCCATACCTATAGGATAAATTCGGGAAAAACGACAAATTTTAAAGTAAAAGAGTAGACTCTCCACAACAACAGAAAATTCAGGGGACCAGCAAAAATTCGCTATACATGTACAAAGAAAATCATTCTAGATAGAGAGCCTACCAGCATGAATTCAAATGTTGAAAAGTATCATACCTGAGTTTCACACTGTCACCCCATTCGATCAATTCTCGACGAAGATATACGTTGCATCCTGGGAGGGCAAAATTGATCAAAGGATCGTGGTTCATAACCCACCCATTATGCACCATTCGAAATTTTCCTCTTTCCGTATAAAGCACGTAGTCTTCTTCATCTTCTAGATCCACTTTCGACTCGTGCGGCGATTGGAAGAAATAGCTAATCGGAAAACAGAAATAATCATAAAAATGAATATTACGGATTTTTTTTTTAAGCAGAGCCTGTTTCAATGTAGTGAATCAATGTGTTTCAATGTACATACGTATCACATACGAGGATTGGTTCGTGATTTTTGTTTATTTCAATGAGTAATCAAGCTCTCTTTATTCCAAAGCGTCAGAAAAGTGTCGCCTTTTTTTTTATCCAACCTGAACCCGAAACTGAACTAAAAACGACTAACCTCGAACAAATATCAAATATACAGCAATTCAGTCCAGCATAATCAAACGAAAGACAAATCGAAGAAAAACAGTTTTTAGGCGACACCTACAAAACGACGAAGGAATATCTTCAAGTCGAGGACGTCGGACTTGAGGCACAAAAAAAGTGAATTCAGGTCATTGGAAGTATGCCAAGGAAGCTTTGTACAGTAAATTCCAGAAACTCCAGCAAATATCCTGAAAACCGAAAACAAAAACGCACCTTCCAGTGATGGGAGAGCCTCTAGAAACGAACTTCTCTTTGGGTCCATTCGGGTCAAATCGTCTGTATCGATTTTGCGACAGCACATTATTGATCCCAACGTCAAGGTGATCTTTGATTTCTAAATACTTCCCGTGATTCAACGCCTGCAATTTTCCTTTGAATGCTCCACAAACAGCGTTCAGTCTGTTTTCTTCATCATGAAAATGCTGCCTGGAAAGTAAAAATCAACCTGAATCACATTTTCTCCATGATTATTTTGTTTTGCTTTTCATGACGTACATTGAAACGTTGTAGGTATCAAAGGCGTGTTTCATATCCACTGTAGAAAGGAATCTTCGATATTCGGGATCTTGCACAATCACGATCTTCGTTTCCATTTCGCGGAATTCTCCGGATCCGAATTCGTGATGAGCTTCGGCAGACTTTCCCCGAATAGCATTCCTCAACTGCTCCACAGTTCCGTCCACATCAACCATGTATAATTCATGGATCTTCACCATGGGCAAGAAGTGTTCCTCAACCAATCTCCGCAAATTCTGCAGCTCTTCCTCACAAGAGATTCTCGGTGGGACACCGTAATCCAACCACTTTTCTTCTTCAATTTCGCACGTCACTCGCCAAAACATTCGGTCAAACATTATGCGACCTGCTTCTACTCCGTACAACACGTTTAACATCCAGCGAAGACCCACGAGCTTTTAGGTAAGCGAAAGCAAACGGCACACCAAGTTCTGTTACAGTGTTTATGACTCGTAGATTTATATGTTTGAGGAGAAAAACAATTAATTAAAACACCGTAAAACGAGTGACATCATGAAAGAGTTCTTCAGAGATCCAGAAATATTTATTTATTACTCGAATCTTTCCTATGTTACCTCGAACTTGGCACCAATTCATGCCACTGTAATTCTTCTCACTAAAAATGTTGAAAAAGTTGTAGCATAGATAATAATTATTTCCAAGAAATTAAGATGTAAGTGAGGAATAAAGATGATGAAATTATAGAAAATAATGTCTCGCCTTCCACTGGGTTTCCATCTTCTTTATAAGTTTGGCGAGGTCCGCCATCGTGTGCTTGGATCCGAACATGTGGTTCAATTTGTGCTGGTTTCGCAATGAATACGAAGACATTGATGCACCCAATTCCTGTTCAAAGAGAGCCAAATGAAAAAAATAAAATTAAAATTTAGCGTTATTCGCACTCGGAAGAAATCTAGAAAGCTAACCTGAACAGGAGTGAAGTGAATCATGTTGTACCCAGTTTCTTTAAGAACCCTCAATCGTCCTTCCCACTCAGTCAACAATCCGAGACTCTTGGGCAACACAGTGACACATTCTATACCGTCCAGGGACAAGGGTTCCCCAGAAGCACCCATGGTGAACCGAGGGTCAACGACGAAGTCACCAGTCAATTCCGTTTTTCTAAACAAAAGAAAGCATTTCAAAAAATTTAAAGAACATGACGAAAAAGCAAAATTTATTTCTGAAAACACGAACCCAGAAACTACGACGTTGAACCGAAATGAACCCGATGAACGGATGGGCAAATCGACGAAATGATCCGCCATTATCAACCCGCAACCCGCTTCGTCTTTGGGTATCGTCCATTCCAACTCCCGAAACTGATGTCTGTGAAATTCCACTCCTTCCTCTGGATGATTAGTGGTAATGACTGCATTGGGTACACCATAAAGGGTGGAACCTTTCTTCAATCTTAAGGTATCACCTGAAAAATTTAAAACGAAAATTGAGACTAACAATGGATCCAATAATAAGACGAAAATAATCCTCACTAGAACTTGAATCGGAGGAACTCAATAATGTGAAGTGATCTTGAAGTTTTAATTTTAAGTGAAAGATGAAAAGATGAGGGCGATCTAAAAATTTGATCATCCGTAAATTACAAAAAATTCGAAAATCACTTCGTGATGAACGCACAGAAAAAAGGCGAACATACGGGAATTTTCTCTCAAAGTTTACGCATAATCAATGATCCCGAGCTCTCAACTTTCTTTCGAACTTCAAATGAACGCGAGTAAACGTCAAAATAAAGAAAAGCCTGGATAATTCGTGCATGACAANAATATTTTCTTCAGAGGTTCAACGTATTCCCCAATCAACGAGAAAAGCTAGTGAACAGCCGAAAACATTGAAGGAATTTTAAAAAGGAAATCGTACCACTTCAAGAGGCAAGTAAATGATGTAGTAGCCGAAGATTCTGAATAAAAAAAATAACGCACACATGACTAAATACGGATAAAAATTCAACAGATAATGAAGTTGCTCGAATAAAGTCAATAGAAAATAACATTTTCGCATATGTTTTTCGAAGAATTTAAATTGTGTCACCAGCATGAAAAAAGAACTCCGAACAATTCAAATGTTTCGATTATAATCAACTTGAAAGCCTCATACCATCATGATGACGTAATACTGTATGACAAATACGAAGAAGTGCGTCAAGATTCTGGACTGAACGATAAACACATAAGAGGTTATATATTCATCACTAGACAATGCACTTTTTGGAATACCGTTTTCAGAAATTAATCAGCTCCATTGTTTTTTTGGTCAGAAAAAATCTATACCGGTCGAATGTTTTAGTGCTTACACGCGTAGTTTCAAAAACAGAACCGCGAAAGAAAAACAGCCTTTTGAATGACAAAAAGGGGAACTCTTTGAAGAAAAAAAGCATCGTTCAGCGCATCAAAACAGAAGCAAAGTGAAATAATTTTTTTTCCTTTCTTCTTTACCACGGGATCTTCTCTCCGTTGTATCGCAAGAACGCGCCCGAATCACTCAATTTCGAACCCAACACCGTTTTCAAAATGCCCGAGGCAGAATCCTGGGGACTCAATGGCGGAGGGGCTCCACTGGATCTTCCCATGTCAGTGTCGACCCAACCCGGATGCACAGCGATCCATACCACGCCGGGTTTCTCTTGCGAAAAGTTCATATTGAGCATGTTGAGTGCGACTTTTGAGCAGCGATACGCAGTCAATTTGCCGGATCCATTTTCGGCTATAGATGCCATGGCTGTCGTCATGTTGACCACAATGGATGGATTGGATTTGTCGTCGCGAAGAAGGCCAATGGCTTCAACCAAGTGGTTGTACCCCGGTTGTTGCAAGCAGAACATCCACCTTTCGTACAGAAGGCCCCACCAGAGCTCGCGTTCCGGACCCTCGACAGGTTAATGAGGACTTATTACTTCTTAGGCCTTTATATATTTCTGTTAAAATAATTTCAACCGTCCTTTTACAATTGAATGAGGATAACATGGTTTGAACATGATGAAACACTATAAAAAATATGCACACTACCGTATTTACTCGAGTATCACACGCACATTTTTTATCAAAATTGAAAGAAAAAAGGGGTGCGCGTCACAAGCGGGTATGCATAATTTTTAAAAAGTTTTATAAGTTCGGGTTTGCATTGTATTTTATTCCAATTCGGAATTTTGGACCGATTTTAACATATAAACGGACAGTAATTGAAATAATAAAAAAGTGATAGAATTCAGAATCAATTCATGTCTAAATTCCAATTTGGGTCTTCTCATTTTTATTTGATATTGCAGTTTTAGAGTTTTGAAAAATGAGGTTCGCGTCTAAATCGGGGATACCAGTTTATAATTGTTTCATTAAAGTCTGAAGTTCCAGAGTAACTGTGAGTGGAACAAGAACAAGCAAAAATAATTCCGGACATATGTTTCAGTTTGCTTCTCTATATATCAACAATGCAATGATGAGGTATTACGTACGTATCGCGTTTTACAACATTAATGTCAAATTTTCCAACTGATACGTTTGTATTGTAAAATGGAAACAATACGAAGATAATTGAATACACTCGTGAAATCTGAACCCTGAAAACTAGATGGAACGTAACTTCAAGTCAGAAGCTTTGTTCATCAATAAAATTACGCTTTTCATAATTCGCTCCAATTCTGATGTTACTCATTTCATCAAAAGATTAGAAGGGAAACCTACGTCAGTAAACTTAATTAATTTTTTCATCCATATAAAAGCTAGGTAGCACAAAAAATAACAAGCGCTCTATAATCACAAATTTCATGAAACAAATTACAGTATTATCACGCCACTCCTCGGACCAAAGCCGAAAAAATTTTCATCTTTCAATGCCCAGAAAAAGTTTTCATCTTTCAATGCCCAGAAAAAGTTTCCAGCAGGTGCATTTCGAATCTTCACAACAAATCCTAAACTTGATTGTTTCTTTCTTTTTTTAAATAAAAAAGAGCATCAATTTCAAGATTCGAAGACTTCACGAGCATTTTCAATCACAGTACATTTATCAAATGCCTTATACAGTACAGTACTGTACTGTACTCTTACGTAAGATTTCAGATACGGTACGTAATTGTGAGCATGATCAACGAAATCCGAAGAAAACGAAAGCTTCTCATAGCATGAGGGTATTCAACCAGAAATGAAACTCACCCGCGTTATTGATAAGGATATCCAGAGTAGGAGAGATTTTCTTGGCTTCAGCAAAAGCATCCTTAATACTCGCACGATCTTCAACGTCCAATTTTATCGCAGGGGCCTGATTCTTCGATTTCAGTAAATCAGCAAGCTCGGTAGCTGCACTTGGATTCCTGCACGTGGCAATAACCTGCAAAATTTCAAGTTTCTCGGAATGAAGAATAAAATGCAAAATTTTTAAAAATAAAATAAAATTAATTTACCTGAAGTCCAGATGAAAGACATTCCTTGACGAGCGCGAGTCCGATTCCACGGGAGCTGCCAGTGATCATTACCGTTTTCGCCATTTTTTCAATGCACAAAAATCACTTGAACAAAAAAAATATATTCGATTTTTCTTTTCCTGTGGAAGACACAATCATGATTGATTACTGTAATTGAATAATTAAAGGAGGCGTCGAAAAATTTGTGAATAGCGCAAACCTCGAAAAGCACCAAGAAACTATAACATTTAGATAAATTCAAGACTCTATGACAGCGTTCCCCAACTTTTTTGGGCCTGCAAAATTTTCAAAAAAATTTCTGCGGACCAGCTAAGTTTCATAAAATTTGTACAGACTCAAAAAAATTTGCCTCAAAGACCTCATGGCAGGTATTTAAAATGTTCCTGGTTTTTGCAAAAATCAAGTTAAGAACAAATCAAGCAGCTTTAGTGGAATGACTTCAAAAAATTAGAAAGGTGGGCTTGAAGAAAGGTTTCTCAGAATTAAAAATTAAAATAAATTATTTCAGCAGGTGAAAATTTATCTCAAGCGTTATTACGAGAAAAGCCAAATTTTGTGTTTCATCAGATAATTTCAACTGTCATTGTCTTTCCGAAATTTCAAATAAAGATAACAGACTTCATTACTACTGTATTTGTGAGGAATTTATTATGCTGAAGAAAATGTCCCGCGGTCAGGCAAGAAAACTTCGGACCACGGATTGGGGAACACTGCTCTAAAAAAAATATGCTTTCATTCGGGTTATTTTGTCATTTATGCTTTCAGAAATAAATCTTGTTCCAAAAATAATAATAAAATCATAAACTAACCGAATCGAACCATTTTATGACAAAGGAAAACAGTTACGCTCTAGAATTATCCCTAAATGTTATCGTTTTCGACTCTTTTTGGGCCTGTGTTCGATTCAACAAGCGACGTTTAAAGCAGAAAATGTTTTTCAGCGAGTGCTGTTTTGGGACACGCTTGATTGTGCAATTTCCGGGAACCTACGAAAAGTATTTAAAAATATGTATATATCGAAAGTTCGAGAAACGTCGGCCTCCTGGGCTCAGAAAAGATTACGAAGCCCACCTTTTGGTGAATGCGTTACTCAAACGACAAAACGAAAATATGATAAATATGCAGAAACAAACAATATCGAGTTCCGACCGCATTCTCTCATCTAGAAAGAAACGCAGACAATTATCTCGAAAATTTGCGAGAGAGAGAGAGAGGTCAGAGATAAGAACACGATTTTTCTCTCTCGGCATTTCGATGATCATTAGAAATGCCACACATCATGCACACATAAAATCTTTCCTCATCACGAAGATTACCATGTCATCACACGAAGATGAAACTTCTTCTCCTTTCCACAAATCATTCCACACACACGACGGAAATATTACATCATCCCAAATACTGTACGAGACAAAGACTACCTTTGACCTGAAAACTTTGCATGAGATATTTTACACAGTTCCGAAATAAAAATCGATTGTACTGACTCTTAGGAGAGATTCCGATAAGGGCTCAAGGTGCTACTTCATGCAGTCGATCTTCTGCCATCTGACGAGCATTATTTTCCATTCAGTCTCATTTCGACTGCGTTCAATGTCTTATATCTCTCATCGGAGAAGTGAAGCATAATGTCAATCAAAAAAATGTTGGGAAATTCCGCATTTGCAAACAAGAGAGTTGATTTATGAGTTTCATGCATGTTTTGCGTCCCTTCTTGAGTCTTGTAGATCGGAGATGATGGAAATTATTTTTACACGGAAATAAATTTGATCATTTCCAAAAAATTTCGCTCAACTAAAGTAGTTGAGAAATAGAATTTTATTTCGCACGGGATTTTGACGAAAAAGGGTAATAATTCTTGTCTTTCATATTTCATGAATTCGCAGGAAATAAATTTGTACGCAAAATATTTCACGAATGGAAGAAAATCTTTCTTTCATAATAAATGCTCAAGAATTGCAAACCACGCTGAAATGAAATGAGCGCTCTGATTTTGGAAATTCATGGGAAGGATTATGAATGTAGAAATGTTCGTAAAATATCAATCGGGGAGCAAGAATTTCCGATATTTTTCCCGTCAATGGTCAGAACTGAAATCGAAAACATTATTTGCAAAATTTCAAAATTTTCGGCGCAGTCTTGCTGAAAATTCAGCGATTTGGATTTTTTGCATTCCAAGACACCATTTCAAAATATTGACAATACCTGGAAACCATCCCTTTTAGCGGAGAAGAAAAATCGCGCCTTCAACTCATCCTCTGCGGAAATAAAATTGTTAAATCATTCAATCGTATGAAATTTCCAAAATCAAAAGCCTTAAAATTGAAATAACAGACTCTAAAGAAATCATTTCAGAGAATCGTAATAAAATCTTTCAAATTTAAGGTGAATTGCACGAACAAGTTTTCTGCGGAGAATAAATTTTTTTAAATTATTAGAATAAAATTTGAAAAACACGATCGGCGAACGCTAAAAGTCTCGAAAGTAAAAACTAAAAAGCCATCATTTCTTCTGCATATGTATGCTCACCTGTCACATTTTTCATCAACGTATAACACAAGACTTTTTTTTTACAAGTTTTCAGAAAATTCGCCATAAAGGTAGTCAATTTTTCAATATACCGAGATGTTTTCCGGGAATGTTTCATTCGGAAAAATCTTTGGAATCGCAGTCACAGCGTTCGTCATAATCCAGGAAGTTTCCACTAGTCCAACAAGATATCATCGTTTCAAAAAAGGTCCAACAGCACCTGTGAACATCAACCCGGATGAATACAGTGAGTCTCGACATTTAATTCTCCAGGAAATTTCCCAAAAGCGAAGACAATAATGAACAAAAAGCTTCATTCGTTTCCAGGTAAGGAATACTGGAACAAATTGGCAAAGAATGAGCTCGACAAGAGCATGAAGATAAATGCCAAATTGAATGTGGCTCGGGCGAAAAACG